TTTTGATCTTGAACTGCAATCCAATTTCTTCCTCTTGAGATGTCATGCAAGTTAATCAGCATAGTCTGGGCACTGAGAGCAAGCTAGAAATAGCAGGTCTGAGGCCTGCACAGTAAACTGATCCTGGGTTTTGGCAGGATAAGCCAGTCAGATCTGAACTCTGTGTTTCTGAAGCCCGATGACTTCTGCTACCTGAACTGTTGAGTTACAACTGGTTTTGGTATCTCCATATACAGCTACAGTATAGCCTCACCTTCTCTTCCCCATCCTTCATTTCAGTCCAAATTGACAAAACAAATTACAGTTGTCAATAGCCAATAACAGTTTCTCAGAAATTCCACTCAAGGCCAAATTAGCTTTTAAATACAGATCAGAAAATCTCATAAATCATCATGCACAAGGGCTAACTCATTTGGGCTTTCAACCCAGGCTTTTTCAGGGATCCTTTCTGTTACTGGGTTACTCAGAAAGGGAAGCCAGTGTGTTTTCTTTGTAACTATCACTTAACTGTGTACTAAAGTCACTTAGTGACTTTAGCTAAAGGCTGTGAAACACTGAACATAACTCAGGGGAAAGGCATCATCTCAGATACGAGTCAAAATGTAATTTAGTCTCAGAGCTAGACTCCTGACATCCAGCCTAGGAGAGGAGTTGAAATGCTGTACGTAGTGCTTTGCCTGACTTTTAAAAGTAGGTTCATGACTCAAGTCTGATTGCAAAATACTGTTACTGACTACACAGAACTGATCTGGAGAAATACAGGGAGAAGCTATGAACTTCTACCCACAAGGATTCTCTTTGTGAAGATCTTTGCATGCATGAAAACATTTAAGTGGAAAGTCCATTTACACATTCATAAAAAAAAAAAAAAAAAAAAAAAAAAAAAAAAAAAAAAAACCAAAACCCAACCCTAACAAACCAAAAAAACCTGTTTTTCACTGCTTTTTCAGTAATCTTAACACTTGAAATTCATAAAATAGCTCATGTTGGAAGGCGCCTCAAAAGATCACCTGGTCTTGCCCTTCACAGGAAAGGAACCTAGATGAGATGATCTAGCACCCTGTCTGATCACATCTTTAATATCTCCAGTAATATCTAAAGGGAAGGCTAATAAAAGACTCAACCTTTCTGCTTTTATGGCAAACGTTTTAGGAATTCAATTAGCAGATGGGAGCCCTACAACAGTCATCTCAGGTATACTCATAGCATGAAAAGAAGGGAAAGAGACAGGTCAAACATAAGGGATAACTGGACAGAACTAAGACAGAGGGAAAAACTAAGACACAATGCCCACCTTGCTCTGCTAGCACCTATGCCTCAGGAACTCCTAGAAACCTATCACTTGACATAACTACAGTACCGTATCTGTTTTACTGCAGATATTCTATGCATGCCCTAGCTGGACTGCCAATAGACAGGAAGAAAATGCAGATGCATTGCCCACCTGTGCTTTGTTCATAATGCATTTAATATCTTTTAAAATTTGATTATTTAAAATTTTTTTAGCATATTCTTCTGTTGTTAAGTTCAATACTGACACATAACTGGATTCCTTAAACTATATTCAGAATCTGTATTTGGTGAAAAACTAGCATTTAACATACTCATGTAACAATCTGTGTACTTAAACACAGTTTCCACTTTCAAAAGAAAGTAATCTGAATTGTAGTTTGAGCTACTGAATGGTATATGTCTAGACAATATAAAACTGAAGATAAGGTCTTAAAGATAAAAGTATTTTATTCTTACATCCAGTAAACACTCCAAAGTTAATTTTTAAGGCTACTGCATTCATAAGTGGAAACCTCCTCCAAGATTATTTGAAGACCATTTGTCCACCTCAGTAGCCAAAAAGATATGTATCTCTAGGAAAAAGATTTTTTAAAAATGCTCAGTAACCATATACACTTCTTGAAAAGAGCAATTTTTCTTGTGGGGTAGGGGCATGTAATAGGGAAGAAAAATGTTTCTAGAAAGTTACTTTAAAAAGATACAAATATCACAGCCTTAATACCATCACAAAGCTCAGCAGAAATGCAGTTGAGTGTGACCACAAGAATGTATTTTCTCCCTATCAGCAATTTCCATCGTGCAAATACTTCATCCAATACATAAGAACCCATTCCATCAGCAGGAAGACTCAAGGTGTCTCTGTTCTCCACCTGTTTTCATCAAGCCTGTAGGAATATAGTAACACTGATACATGTATCAATTTCAAATTGAATTGACATTTATTAACACTTTCAAGAGTTAATCAACAAAAAGCATAGTCACAAGACCCTCTTATAAGGGATGTAATAGAGAACACAAGGCTATTATCTAATTTCTCTCTCTCAAGACACTCAGGAAGTACTTTTTAAAGAATGACAGATACTAGGACATCTCATACCTTTATGAAAATGAACTAGGGTAGCTACAATAGTTACACCCAGCTATCACACCATGTCACATGAATCACAGATTTTGTTGCTTCTTTTTAATCTGATTGCTAGAATATGTAGAGAAGTTTGACCAAGTTCAGATGCACTAGCTCAACCAGTAACTTGGTTGAGATATTCCAGATTCAGCCTAACAACAGCCAAACAACATGTTCCATTACAACAACAGTCCAATCCACTCCAACATACATTGCAATACTGGCATAACCCAAGCTAACATAAGAATAGATTAATTTTACAAGGCCTTATGGATTAAAACAATCTGATTATAGGAAGGCCATAAACAAACAGTGCAACTTTATAGTTATTTGGGTCCAGTCCAAAGCCTGCAAACCATAGTGGAAAACAAGCCCCGTATGTAATATTGAAGAGGAAAAAATGATGGCAACGCTTACTCTTACAACCTGGCTACAACTGCTCAAGAAAAATATCCACGATGCTAATTTATTATTGCATTGGTTCTCTGTTACATAATTTGAGATACTTACAATGCTTTTCCTCAGAACAACGGTTTTTAGGACACCACTGTGAAAAGACAAGATGTCACTTGGCCAAATAAATAAAAAAATCCCTTATTTTTTCAAAACTCACTGCCACAGTTAGATAAGAGTAAGCCCATTAAAAAAAGGAAAGTCCCTCCATGGAGTTTTATTGAAGGCAGGCTGTCTCTGGTGTGAGACCCCTGTTGCCCCATGCTATCCTCTTTGTACCCCTGAGGCCCACAAAGTGACACACTAACAATTACCGCCAACAGCGGGGGATTTCTGTCTTCAGCCTAAAAGCCAACAGGAAGCTCCTGTACCTTAGAATGGCATAAGAAACTACTTTTGGATCAAGAGGATACTTGGGAAGACAAAAGCAATAAGGAGAAGAGGACAAAGTTCTGCTTTGCCTATTACTAAGTCACAAACTTAACTGCTCCAACTCATGTCAGGTCAAGTCAGATACCTGGTCTCCTTGTTGAAGACAGATTCCTTTAAAATTTAGCTTCTATTTGAGGTATGCCATAAGTATTTCTTTTGCCATCCTTGCTCTCACTCATCAGTGCTACCACTGTTTGTTGCTAGTTTCTTCCATACATCATAACTAAAATGGGGCAGTAAAGTTTTCCACAGCCATAGCCATACAACAGACTTCTATGCTTCAGGAAGTGAAATACCCTATTCCTATGGAGGAAAAAAAAAAAAAAAAAAAGATTTTTTCAAACAAGCAAGCTCCATGAAACCTTATTTATGGTATAGCTATAACAAGATAAAAAAGAGTATCAGATATCAGGCTAAATGAGTAGACAAAATAATGAAGGAACAAGCTATATACACAAAACCAACCAAAACAAAAATAGAGATTTTAGCCTGTTTGAAAGAAGCTTTAAAAATTAACACTATAATAACCCTACAAGCCTTTACTAGTCTCCTTAACTGGCTTGAGCAACCACTTCAACTCCACAGGACCCACTCACCCAGGCACAGATTTTAGCACTTTCCCAAATCCAGAACAGCTGAAGACAGTAGGCTTGGTTTCTACTCAAAGCCCTTTTCCCCTCACCATCTCTTAAGCTATAGTTAACAACAACTTAGCTTACTCTTCTAGGAACCTGGTCTTTTTTTTTCTCACAGTGATAGTGCTACTATGTTCTCAGGAAGGTAATTAACACTAGTATCCAAAATAGTAGAAATTTTTATTAAGGCTCAGGACAACTATTGAAGTAATTTAGTAAACAACTTAGGTTACATTTATCTTGTCATACACCACTAAATGCTGTATTAAAATATGTACTTTTCATCTATTTTACTGATGTCTTTAATGTGTAACATGTAAGTATGCTGTTTGTATTCAAGCACTAGTTTTTATATTGTAAAACTGTTATAAAGAAATTCATGCCAATAATGATTTACTACTGTTACTTTTATTAACACTACTGCATTAATAGAATAGTTCAGTTTGAAGTGACCTACAATATAGCGCTTAGAAGATGTGACTATGTTGAAACTCATTTGTGGACTTATTCTGAAACTTTAAAAAACTCTTGTCTTTCTGATGCGAGTACTCACTCTTGGAGTAAGCACATGATAAAATAGCATGTTTGCACTGCACGTAGACAATTCTCTCTCTCCCGCTAGATATTAGCGGTTTGCTTTTTCAGTATGTTGGTGTACCTTAGTCATTCTAGACATCCATGACTTCACGATGAGTCCGTGTGGAGCAACTCGGAGGAGTAACGCCCGCAGGCCGTGAGGAGAGGCGGAGCCGCGCCCGGTCCCCGCTGGCCTCCTGCCGAACCGCGGCGACAGCGGCTGCCCCGGGCCTGGCTCACTTGTGAGAT